GTGAAAGAGCTTCTTTTAAAAGGAAAAACAAATGTAATCTCATTTAAAGGAAATTCCAAGGTACTTTAGGCAAGAGGAGGGATCCCTAGTGGCACTGTGGTTAATACGTTTGGCTGCAGACCAAAAGGTCAGTATGTAGTTCAAACCCACCAGCCACAGCAGGGAGTTAAGTAGGAGCTGGCTGGGATATTTACATTTTAAACAAGAGCCTTAGGAGTCTCATGCAGGTGGTCTAAAGATCAGCTTACAGCACATTTTAGCAGAGGTTCTTGGAGGAAAGACAACACTATGAAAGCTTGTATTCCTATTTTAAAATGCCTTGCTGGTGCAGTTGTTAGAACAGCTTGGCTGCTGAGAGTTCAATGGTTCAAACCCACCAGCTGCTCTATGGAAGAACTATGTGGCAATCTGCTTCTGTAACGATTACCGCTTCGGAATCCATATGGGGCAGTTCTATGCTGTCCTGCAAGGGGGCTACAAGTTGTAATCATTTTCACAGCAATGAATTTCTTATTTTTTAACTTGGAAGAAAGGTGCTGAGATAAAAAGATATAACCAAGCATTTTACAATGCAGTGTAACACAGTATAATGCAATGCAATAGGATACAATACAGTACTGGATCAGATCTTTAGTGGTGGGTTTGCAAAGGCTAATTGAGATGAACAGCAATGAAGAGCCAGGGACTATTTCTGAGGAACATCTTCAAATGAAACTCAACATAAATACAGCAGAGGAGGAAAAATAAAAGCCTGAGAACTGAGACACTGAGGCAGAAAGATAAAATCGGTCATCAATAGACTGACTGAAATCTATTTGGTCTAGAATCAGCTTCTAGTAATTCTTAATACAGAATCCTGGGTGAAACATGCAGTTTGCAATAGGTTGCTAGTCTAAAGGTTGGCGGTTCCAACCACCTAGCAGCTTTAAAGAAAAGCTCTGGTGCATTGGGTCTCTACTCTAGTGCTCCCTCAATGCAAGAACACTTTGTTCTAATAACCTGGGATTCTGTGATGCTCACCTTCCCAACACAATTGCTGAAGTCAAAATGGGTGCCTAAGCAAATGTGGTGAAGAAAGCTGATGGTGCCCTGGTATTCCAAGGTATAGCATCTGGGGTCTTAAAGGCTTGAAGTTAAACAGGCAACCATCTAGAAGAGAAGCATCAAAGTTCACATGGAAGAAGCACACCAGCATGTGATCATGAGGTGTCGACTGGATGAGGTATCAGGCATCAGAAGACCCAAAACAAACAAATATATTGATGCAAATAATGGGGGTCAGAGTGGAGACCCAAAGCCCATCTGTAGACAATTGGGCATTCCCTCACAGAAGGGTCACAAGGAAGGGACTAGTCAACCAGGGTGCAGCATATCACCTATGGAACACACATTCCTCTAGTTCTTTAATGCTTCCTTCCCACCCCGCCCCCCCACTATCATGACCCCAATTCTACCTTACAAATCCAGCTAGACAGGAGCATGTACACTGGTACAGATAAGAGCTGGAAACACAGGGAATCCAGAACAGATAAACCCTTCAGGACCAGTAATGGTAATAGCGATACCATGAGGATTAGGGGAAGGTGGGAGAAGGGGGAGAAATGGGAAACCAACTACAATGATCAACATATGAACCCGCCCCCCACCAACCCTGGGGAATGAACAACAGAAACGTGGATGAAGGGAGACAATGGATTGTATAAGGTATGAAAATAATAATAATTTATAATTTATCAGGGGTCACAAGGGTGGTAAGGGTGGGGGAGGAAGGGGAAAAAGAGGAGCTGAAATCATGGACTCAAGCAGAAAGAAAATGTTTTGAAAATGATGATGGTAGCATATATACAAATGTGTTTGATACAATTAATGCATGATTTTTTATAAGAGCTGTAAAAGTAAATGGGAGTTAAAAAAGAGCTGTAAAAGCCCCCAACAAAATGATTAAGAAAAAATTTTACAAAGAAAATTATTTTCATATGTTTGCTAAAACACATCATCTTACTTCCATAAATAAGTCCATTTTGTTATTAAAGACATACTATAGTGAATGAGCATCAGATGTATTGCATTATTTAATTAATGCTTGAGTTCATTTTTCTCATTGGTAGTAAACAATATTTTTTAAATTAAGCAAATAATTCAAATTTAAAAATAAATAAAAGTCCTGGTGAACGACTTCCATAAGGATTAGTTAAAGAAACCCAGCGGAGATTAAGTTGTAACACGTGGTAACTCGTGCAGTTACCATGCATGGGGCGCTGATTCCAAGGCGACCCAAAACCATGATCGCACATCTTAACAAGATTGCTATCTAAAAAGAATGCCTGCATGGAAAGCAATCACTATGATAACCTCCTTAAGAAATCATTTCTTAAACTGGTGACTTACTATTGATTTTCACAGTAGAAGGCCAAACGGAGGTGGCAAGGAGAATCAAGCCCTCTAAAGCCACAGAGACCTTCATGAAGGCAGACAACTAGCCCAGGACTTCCCAGGAAACAGGAAGCAGTAACGGGCTTAAGTGGTTTTATATGGCATGCCATGCTCAGCTGCCCTCACTTAGAAAATCTAAGGGAGGCCTTCAGCACAGGGACAACCATCTAAAGGCTGAGGAGCCCCTGACTACCCAAACACAGACGCTCAGAGAGGCCTATCAGACAAAAAATGGTTGGATAGCTGTGTCATTAAAGTCCAATATGCCTAAACAGCCTATATAATACAGATGGTCAAAAGACAATGATGTTCAACTTTCCATGGGTTTGGCTGGAAGAATCAGTGACGGAAGTGAAGCAACTTCAACAGGAAAGTAAAAAACAGAAAGGGGACAAGGACCCAAAAGTAAAATAACTTTGGGGCATCAAGAAAATCCAAAAATCCCTCTCTGTTGGTTCTTCCATAAACTTAATTTTCTAGTTGTTTCAGCCAGGTCAGGTCTTAAAAGGATTTGCTGATAATACAGGAACACAATTGTATTTGAGTGGGTTTATGTATGGTGTATGTACGTGGTGTATTCTACTAAAGTACATATTTTCAACAGTATATATTCAAATAAGGAGACCTGGTGGTGCATTGGGGTAAGCATTGGACTGCTAACTGCAAATAGTGCTTCAAACCCACCAGCCATGCTTCAATGGAAAAAGATGGGGCTACCTGCTCCCCAGATGATTTACGACCTTGGAACCCTATATAAAATCACTGTGTGAGAAATAACTTAAAGGCCGTAGTTTCAATTTTTGATTTCGTGTATTGGAATATATTCATTTAAAAACTTGATTGGCATACAAGTTCCAACTGAGGGTTTTTGTCATGTTTTCTGAACATCAAATGTGAATGTATCGTTTTAAAATGAACTTGGAAATCAAAGATTGAAAGTAAATTAAAATCAAAGAACCCAAACTGGAATCCTACCAACCTGGATAGGGGTGTCTGAATTACATCTTTATGTTAATGTACTCTCAAAATAGGAAGATACATCAAAAAAGTACTGCTATAAAATCATAGAAACCTTTATTAAATAAAAATATCAAAATGAGAAGCTATCGTTTTAAGACATAGCGTCCATCTACATCTATACCCTTGTGAAGATGGTGTATCTATCTTACTAGCCCTTCCCTGAAAAATGCTGTGGTTTTCTATGTACAGCACAGCAAAACAGCAGCTCAGACATCCTTAAGAGGCACTGCTCACAGTGGCCTTTGATTCAAGGGACCAAAAAAAATCTGCAGAGGCAAGGACTACGTGCATTATCACATTGCAAAATACATCCTCAGCACAAGAACTTACTGGTTAGCAGAAGCAGGTGAAAACACATGAAGAGATTTTAAAATATGGGAGACAAATTTCTTTCTGGCTGCCGTTCATTCAATTCCCAGACCGCTGGGGCTTCCCACTGCAAGAATTGACAACTATTGCGTGCCAATCACTCTGGTGACCCAGAGTGAGAGACATTCTTCCAAAACCAGATGAGTAGTGCTCTCAGAAGTAGCCCTGGCAGCACAGTGGAGAAGTGCTCGCTGAAAGGTCAAAGAGTTGACTCCCTCTGCCTCTGACAAGAAGTCTGCTTCTGCATGCAATTAGAATCTCTGCAGCAGCATTCTACCCTGTCACACTGGGTTGCTGTGAGCTAGAACTGACATCAAGAACAAGAATACTCTCAGGGCAGGAGCCAAGTGTTTAACTCAGTTAACCCTGAAGTGCCCCCAGGCCTACCTGATGTGACTCCCCCAAACCCAAACCGGCCTCCCTCAAGTCAGTTCCAATCCTTTGTGATCCTGTATCGAGTTTCTAAGACGATAAATCTCTATGGGAGCGGTTCACCCTATTATTTATTTATGTATTTATTTATTTGTTTTAGGAACAGCTAGGAACCCAGCTTGTGTTTGGCGGTCCAATGTCTGACCCGTAGGACCACCAGGTTTTCTTCATTTCAAATCGCACACTCAGCCACCTGTCCTGATTCGTGGCTCAGGGAGAGGTATTAGAGAAGTTAGAGCCCTCCAGGAGTCCCCCGGAAGGGGGGGGTTGGGGGGGGGGGGGCAGTTTCGGCCTTCACTACTAGCTTAGAAGGTGGCCATTTGGACCCACTCAAAGGACCCACTCAAACAGAAGGGATGCGCTGCTTTTGAAAGGTCACAGCCTGGAAAATCCTATGGAAGTGTTCTACTCCACACAGATGACGTCAACGGGCATGAGAGCAACTGAACAGCAAGCAGCAGGCAACAGAAACAGCAGGGCATCAAAGCCTCAAACTGAAGACATAGGAAACGCACGACTGCCTGGCAGCGGTTAGAGAATAATAGAGCCAATTGCACCCGGGAGCAAGGTCTGATCATGAGAAGTGCTCACAGATGATTTGAGATTTGGCTCTGGCTATCCCACCAGTATACAACTAATATCTGAAATTCCTGCAGGGTCACCCATGAGCCACAGGTTTCAGTGGAGCTTCTAGATGAAAACAAATTAAGAAGAAAGCTCTGGCTATCTACTCTAAAAATATTGGCCATTACAGGGAATATGGCATCCCCCAAGGGCCACACCAGAAGGACTCAACAAGCCCTGACTGAACAAACTGGGTCCCACCTCAAACTACCTGTGGCCCTCAGACTTCAGTCTGACATTCCCTGTGAGGAAAGGAAGCAAGGGATGGCCACTCCAAGACTGTGGAAATGGCAGTCATTGGACCTTGGGTGGGACCCCTAGCTTAGTGGGTGTCTATGGTAGTTATATAATCTGTTGTCAATTTGAGAGGATTACGAGTGAAGGGGTGGAGTCTAGCCTGTCAATTATTGTATAGCCAGTGAGGCCTCTGTGTGGGCATGGCCTTCCCCTGAGGATTCTGGGAAATACTGTATTTCCTCCTTGGAGGCGGGAGACATACTCTCTCTCTCTCTCTGCTTACTCCCTGAGAGATGCTATACTGACAAGGCACATGACACATGACACTATGTTGATAGGCCCGTGCCCTGGGAACTGGAGGAGCCACGTGGAGACCCCTGCCAGTGCTGAGATAATTCTACCGCCAGTGGATTCACAATACTTTGCACCCACTGGCCTGTGATCTTCCTGCATTCGGCATCATTGCATGTGTTTGTAAGTCTGAAGAGGACATTATTGATTGTTATTGGACATATGAGCTAATATTGGACTTATGCACTTGATCTGGCCTGGGCTGGGATATTTTCTCAATAGTCAACTACTCTTGTATATAAAGCTCTTTCTTATACACATATGAGTGTGTCTATGAATTAGTTTCTTTAGTCTACCCAGACTAACAGAGTGTCCAATGAAAGGGGACCAAGAACCACCATATACTTGGTATCTCAATACTCCTCTTGCATTAAAATGACAGGTATTAATCTGATAGGCAAGGATCTTCCCTTGTAATAAATATTATAGTACACTTTCCCCAAGCACCAACCCCAATGCTCAGTGCACACAGAGCTCAATTAATGAATCAATCTGTACAAAGCAACACCTCATGGGCTGCAGATCGTATTTGGGCTACACGTAAATAAACTCCTCCTATCAACAGTACCTTAAATTCTATGCCATTGGATAAATTATTGGTGTAATCGATGCAATTGCCTTATAACCCAGGGGGATGATTGACAATGTTTTTCTTTTGTTTTCGTAGTTTTTTACTTTTGTTTGGTTTAGGGTTTTGTTGGTGGTGGTGGTTTTTGTTTTTGTCTTAGTATGACCACTACAGTAAGTCAGAGTCATTCATAACCTGTGAACAAGCAGATGGATTCTGGACTCTCGCTTAACTCTAGCTCCAATCCCAGAAATGGTTAGTTCTTAAAACATGGCCTTGCTTGACACTTGCCTGAAGAGATCACTGACGATAAGGGTCCTACAGCAAAATGTGATGAAGAAAGCAGATGGTGCCCACCTGTCAATTGGTTAAGTGTCTGGGGTCTTAAAGGCTTGTATGCAAACAAGCAGCCATCTAAGTGAGCCGTCAATGAAGTCCACATGGAAGAAGCACACCAGCCTGTGTATCCAAAGATGACAATAACAAAATATGATGAAGGGGAAAGTATCAGGGCTTAAATTGTGAACACCCAACTTGTAGAAGGCTGTGGAGGACAGTGGGAACCCAAAACCCATCTGCAGGGTATCTAGTCAGATTAAGCCTCTGGCAGATCCTCTCTGGCTACAGGCAAGGGACTAGAACAGGTTTACTATCAGAGAGTACAAACTTGATTATGGCAGGTTAAATAATGGTATAATATGATATTTGGTCGTTGACCTCCCTCTTGATCCAACCTGAATTTCTTCTAGACTCAAACGTTTCTTCCTTGTTCGATGACAGAAATTTCATCTCTGGATTTTTAAATATTGTCGGTGGTCTCTTCGTTCTTACTTTTTATTTTTATCTTTTATCTTATTTCTTCTGTTTTGTGTTTTACTGTTTCTTTTAGGCTTCTCAGTTTATGAAACACCGGAGTGGATGCATAGAGACAATAAGTGATGCAATGGTCTATTTGAGGGGGAGGGGAGGCACTGGAGAATTGGAAAAATGAATGCAGGAGGGGAGAAGGAGCACTAGAGCTGTTTGCAATGACATATATACAACACTTTGTAAAAGCAGCTTAACTGTGAAAGTGTAGGATACGTGAATGTTATATTTTAGAAAAACGACTTCAAAAACAAACCAAAGTTGACCAACAGTTCTATGGTGAACGAGGAAGAATTTCGGCCATTGAGTTTATGTTACGGTGATGGGATGATTTGGAAAAGGATATCAATAATGGTTGCACAACACAAAGAGTGTTATCAATGGCATTAAATTATGCATGAAGTTGTTGGAGAATATTTTGTTGTCTATATTTTTGTCACAATTTAAAATTACACTAATAATAATGAGTACAAGGAAGAAGAAACAGTTCTAAAATTGTGGAAATTATTATACAACTGTTCTGGATCTGATTGAACTATTGAATTGTATGATAAGTGGATGA